TAATAACAATATCCAACTTTATAAATTCCGTTGGAATTATTCAGATCTGCGGATTTTTGGTAGTAACGGAATGCTTCATTTGCATTTTTTTCAACGCCAATTCCAAATTCGTAACAATAACCAAGCAAATAAATTCCGTCTGGTTCATTTGCATCTGCTAATTTTTTGCACTCATGGAAATTTAGTTGTTTAAAATCGTTGTCAATTTTTTGTTCCATTGAATTTAAAAAAAAAAAAAAACGTAAAAAAAAAAATGGAAACAATATTGCAAACGTACCGATGATAAATTTATTTGCAATAGCGGTTGTACAATCTTCTAAAATTGTACTGGTGCACTTCTGTGCGGAATTCGTTTTACAGATGATGCTAACAACGAATAGTAGCGCAATTTTGACAATATTGCATACATGTCACGCCGGCCATATAACATGCAAAAAAAAAAAAATTTATGTAATGCAAATTGCACTACATAAAAAAAATCATTGCATGCCGTCAATAGAAAACAGTCATTGATAAATAGAAAACAGTCAATTTTTTTTTAAAAAAAATATAATATAAATTACTTGTTATGCCAAGTAATAATAGTGAACCTCTTGTTATAATAAATCTCTTGTTATAGTGAACCTCTTTTTAATTATAGTGAACTTATTAAAGATTTTTAATATTTATTACTTTAATTATTATTAAATTATTAAGTTTAAGATTTTTTCACTATTTATAAGTTCACTATATAGAGGTTCACTATTATAACAAGAGATTTTTATATAGTGAAAAAAATCTTTGAGCTTAATTATTTTATCATAAAAAAGCAACTTATATTAAAAATCATTAACTGTTTTCTGGCATGCCATATTGACAACCCAAATATAAATTTATATTTATAAAAAGAATTTAAATATTTAATATAACTTAAAATGTAAAAAAAAATTTAACTAGTACTATTTGAAATGATTTTTTTGTGATCATTTAGAAGAATTAAACACTTTCAACCCAGAGTTTACTATTTTATGTTAAAAGAAAAAAAATAATTATATAAGTATTTTATAATATTTATATATTAAAATTCAAAACTATTATGATATTATAAATATATACTTATCTTTGTTTAAAAATTTTTCTTCAAGTTTTCTTTAGGTTGAAAGTGTTTAATTCTTCTTTTTGGCCCACAAAAAAATCATATTCATTAAGCAAAAGTTTTAATTTTTTTATTATTACAAAAATCATATTTAAAAATATTTAATTTATCTTTTTTAATATAAAAGTAATGTTTAGATCATGAAGTTCACCAGGGGATTTTTCATGCCTTTATATATAAAAATTTCCATAAAATAAACACATAAAAAAATTTTTATCAAAACAAATAAACAATCCAAAATAAACATAAATAAACAATGCTAATTAAAAATGGAAACAAAATAAAAACAGCTAAACATGATTGAAAGATGTGAATCGTGTTCATGTCTCGTGTTGTTTATAATTCATGCTTCGTGTTATTTATATTCGTGTTATTTATGTTTGTATTATTTTAAATTAATATCTAGCCAATCACAATAATTTACATCAATTTTGACTTTGGAATATTTACAGGATATATTGGGTATGTACGTATATGGGGCCTTTGCTATGATTTTTTTTTACTAAAAATAGATTTGTTATGATTTTACTAATTAAAATCTTGTGTAACAATAGCTCGGAGGGTCATTTTGTTAGCAAAAGCCCCATATAAAGTGTTTATATTACATATATATGATGATCATTACTAATAGTGACCTTATTTTTTGCATCTTTAAATTCCGCCGTGAGTAAAGTTACTTAACGGCGATATACTGTTAAATGTGAAATTTATAATAAAATACTTAAAATGCGTGTATTATCGAATTTCATAATTATAATTATTCTAATTTTAATAAACATCTATTTAAATTACAACTGTTTAAAAAAGGTGTGAACAACAATTTCCACATGCCTATGTGGGAAATCGAAGAATTATCATTAGTAAAATTAAAGATCCGATTAGAAAGTTTTGGAAATCTGGGTAATTTCGCGAATTTCCCGTGATATAGTTATTTGCGTCTGTTCACACCTTTTTGAAAACAGTTAAATTATTTAGTTTGGAAGCTCTTCTATGGGAAGCTGCTAAAGAAGTGATACCTTATACAAAAGAAGGAATAAATTTGCAAATGACAAACCATTTTATTCAGATGCCCAAAGTTTGGCAGGACATACTAATTTATTTATTTATTTAAATCTTTAAGTCATACAGATTTTCGACCAACAATTTCTAAAATATTTACAGTCCTTTTTGATTATCACCATAAAAGGTCTCAACCATCTATCGGTGAATTTGAAGAAGATTTTGTAACTGATGATAGTTTCATGACAGTGGAACAACCAGTCGAAGACCCGAAAGTAATAAACTAAAAGCATAGAAATGCTTCAACCAATTCGCTGAACAAGATGACATAATGGGTTGGTTATTATCTATATCACTCTGTCCTTCCTGAGCATAAGGATAATTGACAAGAAAATCTTCAGCGTGCGGCAAAATTGTTCAAAGAAACTGCTGAATGTGGTAAAGTTGAGGCTCAACTCCAATAATATGGTTTCTATTTATGGCAAGGTGATGATGTTTCTGTCGATTTGGATGAGCTATGAAATATCTAATAAAAGCTGCTAAGCTATACCAACCCGTAAACACCTATGAAAATTAAAATGTAAGATTTGCGAAAAAGGAAATTTTTTAAAATAAAGTATAACTTATCCTTATTTTATATTTGTACATCAAGATTCGACCGAAAGCTCTCCCAGGTTCACAACGCTGTCGTACGTGTAGGCAATTCTTGTTTCAAAATTACTCGGGGTGGAAGAACTGTTGATGGTACTTGTCGATTTGGATTCGCAATTCTTTGGAACAGTCCAATTTTTTAATCCAATTGATGATAAGCCTGGATTCTGTGCAGCTCCCCATTCAATAAAATTCCTTCTTTCATTTGTAAATCATCTCATTTAATAAGAATTTCTTGAGGTGATGTAAAATCTTCGGAATCAAGATCTTATTTGGATACTTTTCCAAAATCGTTACACCATTTTGTAAATTTTGTAACTGATTACTTTGGAAGCTTTCTTGATAAACACGTGTAAATATAAGTGGAGCCAATTAGCCTTTGTTTCAATTGAAAATGTTTAGCCAATCCTTCTAATAGAAGCTTTGACGCAAAAAGCATAAGTTCAAAAATAAAGGATACTTCTTGAGTTTCTAATAAAACCACCCAACCTTAAAACATTTGAATATGCTCAGGGTGTCTTTTTGTTCAGCGAATCTCCACACTCTCAATTACGTTAGTCTTTTTTGCTTCAAGGTAATATTTTAGTCGGCTTTCACTTCTCTTCAAATGTTCGATTTCTTACCCTTTTTTTTTCACGAACGTCGATTCACCAAAACCGGATCGGGTCATGTGGCAACGTTTTCCATCCTTTCATTCAAAACCACGTTCCATTCTTGCGATCCATGGCATTTAAAAAACAGTGTCAGAAGCTAATTCACTCCCTATGTAGGATCTTGAACCATTTCAACATCATCTAGATTAACTTCTGCTCTGCACATACACATAACTTTTGTATTTGACTTTCTTTTGAGACAGCAAGCACGAGCCCACACGAATTCTACTTGCTACACATATGTATAATAATTATATGTCCCATATATATAATTTTTTGAACCATTTTTACACTATCTACATTAGCTTCTGCACCGGGAATATATCCAACGAATTCATGGCCACTAATTTCCACATTCAAACGTTTTCAAGTATATCCTCTCAGAAAGTTCTTGTTACTCTGATCTTCAACGATTCCTTAGGGGCGTGAGGTGGGTGGGACCATACACGAAGGAGCCGAAGAACTATTGATAATATTTGTCAATTTGGGTTCGCAACTCTTTTCAGTATATCTTTCCAAAGACCTCTTCCCAAGATTGTTTGATATGGTTCTACATTATTAACAATGTCATCTCTGGATATTTGGAAATGAGGTATATGAGGTAACTGATTCTTCAATATATTGTTCAAAGCTAAAATGGTTTTAGTTAGTCCAATTTTCATTTTCATCCCTTTGTTCGGAATCACATTTCATTCTTGCGATCCATGGCCTTCCAGAAAACGTCAGAAGCCAATTCACGCGTTTATGTAGGATTTTGGACCATTTTCACACTATCTATATTAGCCTCCGCAACGCACATATAACTTCACATCGCATTTTTTTACAGCGAGCACGAGCCCATTCTATGGTGCGGCGTATTCTTCTTGCTACACATGCACAACTTTCTGGCTTTTACTTTCTTTTAAAGTAGCAAGTACGAGCCCATGCTATAGTGTGATGCATTCTACTTCTACTGTACACCTATACTTAACCGTATGTTCCCTTCACGTGGTCCACATCGACTGATTCTGAAAACAATTGAACGCCTTAATGTAGGACTTCGAACCATTTTAACACCATTTGCATTGGCTTCTGCACCGGGAATATACCCAAGAAATTCATCGGTTGTATGACTACTGATTTTCACATTCCAATATTTTCAGGTAAGCAGGTCTCTTGTTACTCCGATTTACAACAGTTTCTTAGGGCGGGTCCATCTAATCCTTAAATACCATCTCAGGTTACATGGATCTAATGGGGTGATCCTCACGATAATAACCCTAGCGTGACTATCTTCAACGTATAGGGCTATTATTCTCGCTCGGATCAACTTTATTGAAGATACAATATGGAGGAAAAAAAAGCATCGTGGGGAGGTGGTGTATTTTTCAGTGGGCTGTTCTTGCGAAACACGTCTGCCAATGTTTTCCACGTTGTAAATTCCAATCTTTGACAAAATAGTACTGCAGAGTGAATCAGCTAATACTATTCCCCTTCCTATCCACGATTATTCACAGGAAATCAATGTGATGTCTCGCAAGTAGAGATGGGCATTCAGCATTATGTACATTACATTATTCAAAACATAATGTCGCATAGTGTAATGTAGACATTTTTAAAATTTAAAAGTGCACATAGAAATTGCTGCATAAGCTGGCTAACTAATATGAGGTTTGAAAATACCATGAAATAGTAACTTTCTTTCTAGTGATGAGAAAGGTTGGATATGAATCTTGCTTCTTGATTTACCAGGAACGTAGTACGAAGTACGAAGTGTATGGTTTACGGGAGAGTTAAATGATGTACCCTTTTCATGTCTGATT